ACTGTATCTCTTGTTATCCGGAACATTTATAATTGATGAATTATATATAAGATCTTAAAAATATTCGTAGTAGTCCGCAACCATATAACCTAATAATTATGACAGTTTATGGAGAGTTTGGGGGATTCTCTTTAGTTTGGATTGCTAAAGAGAGAGCACTAAGATATTGGATAAACATATCAAAATTAATAACTCCGAAAACATGTCAATATTTGATTCAAAATCTTTGTAATAATGCAAATACCTCTTGTTGGACAAGCCAAGTACATTCTACTATAATAATAGATCATCTTGGACATTTATAATTATTTACGACTCAATTTTGAAACAAACGTTAGTATTAATCCTGTATTAAAATAACATTACGTGATCATTTTATTCAAGAATTATAACATTACGTGATCATTTTATTTCAAGAATGGAGTACATTTTCAAATAACACTTAGCTATGAGAAAAAGTTTGAAATGATATACATAGAAAGCATTTGATGTCTTTTAGACTTTGTTCTTACAATATATAAAGAAACAGAATTGGTAGATGTCAATGGATAGAGAAAATCGCATATGTAAACTGTAAAACCAAAATGACATAGCAACCGAGAGAATGGAATGAGAGAATTTTTACAAATGCATGGTGGCTCTTTGCTTCCATTTCAAACCAGTCAGAAATGTTATTGTTTATCATAAAATGTCGCGATATTTTTCTGTCTAAATCGTACAAAATGTTGCGGGCAAAGTATAACCCTTTTTACAGTACAATTTTTCCATAGTAACGGATATTGCATTCGCGCATGCGCATTCTTCGAAGGGCAAAATACAATAACGAAAGATTACATTTTAGCATGCTTCAAGGCTTTAATAGACGTGATTTCAAGTATTGATACCAAGAAAACATAATTTTTGGGATGAATTAAAGCGGAAAGTACTTAAAACGTGAATTGATATTTATAACATATATACAAAAATAGCGGGACTAGTTATTCAGTGACCAAAGGTGCATGTAAAATTCTCATTTAAAGGTATCATTTGACGATTTTTCATCAGTTATTTAAATTGAAGCAACATGGAGTTAAAGATATATTTTCATTACCCCAGTATTTCAATATTACACAATTTGTTTTGTACACTTCCTTAGACAATCGTCTGTTCCATGCCTTTTTATGGTAATCTTGGCAACAAAGCTATAAAGATATCTTTAATTTGTGTTTTGGTAAAGCAATTTTATATTGTTTTCAACATTTTACCTTTAAGTTAAACTAACTCTGAATTGTCAATTAACTTCTACTACAATTTATGTAGGGCGACGCGTTTTTGCCCTACGCAGATTGCACATGGGCGAAAAAATAGTGCTTCCGGCAATTTCTCTTTAAAATGGACGCCACGGGCCACTTTACAAAAACGTCAATATATTGTGTTTTTCCTTTGCATAATGTTCAGTGTTATTAACGCAGCAGCGAAAATAAATAGAAGAGAAAATTAATCAAAATGGTCTTGTGTCAAAACAGTGGTTCGAAAAAATCCCTGGATCCGTTACGCCCAGGGTCGTATATCATATTTGTTAATAATAAGGCCCAAATCGTATCTCAAATTAATTATATGTAAATTATAATATATATTATAATTTAAGGGCCACAAATTACTATAAATAGTTTATTCGTATCATGTTATGTATTTTATTCATGTTGTGTTTAATATGACCCCGGATTACGTGTGTTCCGTATCACAGGTCGCGATATTGTCTTGTAACATCACGTGGTACAAGAAAAAAAACCTTGGTTAAAGAAGTCTGTAGAATAAAAGAAAGTACTTTCCCGTTTATGGAAAAGCGAACGGGCGTACGCAAGATCTTTTTTCCTGTGAAATTATCGGTTCGCCCTTAACTTGTCGTGACTTCGTGTCTTCTACGCATATTACGCATATGCGAAAGGCAAAGACACGATAATTGGCCAATTTAGCGGGTCTAAGTTTCCTCGTGTCTTCTCCCCAAAAGCCGAAGACTTAATGAATTGGCCAATTATCTTATCTTCGCCTTTCGCATTTTGAGGCGAATAATCGACGATACGAGAAATATAAGCTGTCGATAGGAAGATTTCTACCTGCGGCATGATAATTCTGCAGTCTTCACCTATTAAAATATCATTATTTCTTGTCTCGTTTTCATTTTCAGTCCAAAAGCTCCATATCAAATCCATACTGTACTCAAAGTAACTTTAGGCAATAGAAATTAATAATTAGTTTCTCATCCATATTTTGGAAAAATGGGGCTGGCGGGTGGATTTTAATTTTGATTTTTGATTTTCCTCGGTCTGCAATTACATGCGAGGAGGTCAATATAAGGGAATTTGTGCTATTATAAGCTATTTAGGTGCTAATATAATGTGTATGTAAAATATATAGATTCAGATTCAGACTAGAAGCAACATGATAATATGTCTTGATATGTTTTATTGAACCTTACATATTCTGACATCAAACAAATTGATGTTTGCACTAAAAATAACTTGAAAAAGTGACTTTAAAGTAATCAATATTACTTTTTCTGGAGTGAAGTCTGTTAAAAATTAGTTAATCAACCAACCAATGAAGCTACACAAAAAGAAAATCCTACTTATATATCACATAGCAAATAAAATAACATAACCTATTGAAAATTTGGCCAAGAAAGTATAGAGATTAACCTATTTAGATTAAAAAGCTTTTTGTCTTATTTTCACTTTTATACCATGTTGAGATATAATGAAGAGTACATACAAAATCAAGCAACACGCTGACCATGTAGTTCATTTTGTCAGGCCATAGTGCAGGACCGGCACCCTTTTGTTTATTTGTGGTCCAGATGATGATTTCAGGCCCAGACATTTCAAGTATAATATTATAAAAACCTGGGCAAATAAAAATCACCACCTTTCTTAATGTGGCTTTCAAAGAAGAAACGAAACAAAATGTGGACCGTAGAATAATCAGGGTCCTCACTAGGATTTTCAAAATCCAGAGATTTCCAAAAAAAAAACCAGAAAAAGTCGCAAAATATGTAGAATATGTTAAGCTGTCTTTGCTGCATTTTTTAATTGATGAATATTCACTGTACCGTAAAGAAGTGCTTGGAAAAAATTTACAGACAATTTCTAAAGCCCTGTATCATCAGACCATTCTGCTGTTTTCTTCCCGATTAATTCCACCACCATCCCTTTAAAATATTAATTGTACAACATATACTGGCAGATTTCTCATTCTAAACAAATGTAAACAATATCGTAAGTATTTTTAATTAATAAACTATATTTTAAGTGTTATTGGACACATTTTAACAAAACAAAGCTTCCTTTAAGTGACTTCATTTTTATTGTAAAAAACGGCATCGCGAAAATATGTGGCAAATGAAATAATGTCCGTTTTCTGCATAACCATTCACAATTCTAGTTCTTGACTCTTTTGATTATTTCATATTAAATGTTTTATTATCATTTTAGATTGTTATCCATCCGCTAATTTAAAAGGCATTGTAAAACAAAATTTCAAAATTTGTAATTTACGGCAGAATTTACCGATGTTGTTTATGAAGACAAGTTCACAGCAGTTATTTGACTTGTCCAAAATTGGTCTTCTGTGGGTACATATCTTCAAAGATCTTTAACAAATTTCCTTTAAATTATCAAAAAAGGTTATATTAAGCTCTTTGAAATTATTGCATGATCCGATTTTTATTCAGCCAGGACCGAGACCGACAGACTCATCATGCACTTACATACTTTCAGTATTTGGCATTCGTACACGGTAATCAAATGTAAAGTTCTAGCTATAAACTTTTTTTTCTCTTTTTTTCTTCTCTTTTTTCTTCTTTTCTTTCTTTTTGTCTTTCCTTTTCTTTTTTTCTTTTTTTTTGAAAATATAAATCGTTCGGGCGCAGCAATTTTTGCCGGGCGGGCGGGGATGAGAATCTGGGAATTTATTTTATATAGCCTTATCGTTATTAAATACAAACCGCCGATGATTTTTTATTTACTTTAAAAATCATTAATCTAATATGTTAGTTTATTTTACACTGTTAAGAACCATTTTTTTCCTGATAATATAAGACTCACATAGCTGCAAAAGATTGATTGGATACGGCAAGTGTCTGGTCAAATATTGGTTGTAAAGTGGTGTGCCTGTCTAATTGATTTTAATTTAGGCCTCACTAGCTAAGAATAAACGAGTTAAATATCAAGATTGGAGATAAAGATTGTTAATGAATACTTTCATGACACGGTGCTGATTTTGAATAATATTTAATAAGTTTCAACGCATTATTAATTTTTCGGTCGTTTTTATTTGTATACGAGTATAACCCACTCAAAATGTACACGCAAATGCAAAATATTAAGTTACATTAATAAGCGTGCACAGAGGGCATAAAAAGGTATTTACCCAAATGTATTGTATGGGGAAATGTTTAGGCTTGGTAGGGTGAATTCAATAATAATAGTATCTGTGTTTACGTCTTAGCTCATATAAGCGAAATATAAACTTGTAAATGTTAGGGTAAAAGCTAACGTGATGATTTATCTTTTTCGAACTGGGTTAATTCTGTTCTGCTCGTAGTTAGTATTTGACTCTTTGACTGCAAGTGTTAAATTTGGTAAAAGCTGGTACCAAATTAGATTGAATGATTGATTTTAATCAAAATATTAAATGAAACAATATTCCAAAAACTTTGATAAATTAATCAATTGTGGCGTCCGTGGCCGAGTATTTAAAGTCGTTGATTTCCAACCATTTACCTTTAACCTCTATAGCTCGAACCCAGACAGAGGCGTATTCTTGCCAGTAAGCTATCATGCTTGCTTACGTAAGGTTGAATTTCTACGTACATGTAGGTGCCCGTTCATTCGTGAAATTATGCACAGAAAGGCATCTGAAGTTTTTCCTTCACCAGTAAAGCTGGAAAATCGCCATATTCCTGTCTATTGTGCTGGTTCGACGTAGAATCCAACCAAAATAGTAATAATAATAATAATAATGATAATAATGATAATAAAAATAATACTTTTACAAGTATATATCAACATCTCAGTGCTATAGGTTTGTTTTTTAATGTTTACACATGTTTGCTATTTTGTTGTTAACAGTACATTTGATTATGTACATTAAAAATTATTTCAGTATTTATGACTCAGTCTAAAAAAATTTATCCCCTTCGCTTTATAAGAAAATAAAATCAGCATACGATATAAACGCTGGCCCAGCATCGTCACAATATTACGTTTGGTCATATACGAGATATCTAAACCCATCTATCTACATTATGGGGATACAATGTAGTTTTGGTTATCGGGATTTCTGCGTAATGGTGTCAAGTACCTTTTTGTTACATTTGTCTATTTTAGAAATTGTCAGGTTTTTCTTTTTTTTTCATGAGTACATTTATATTTTTATGTAACGTACAACAAATATGACTTATACTTATATAATTTTGTATAATCAATTTTTCAGGAATGTTTTAAGACTGTCATCTCGTATGTCCATAAATGCCGTCTGCATAGGCGCCATATTGCCTGTAGATATAGAACGGAAACTGTTGTCCCTGTATTTGTCTATCTCCTGTTGTCGGTGTTTCATCCAATCCAACATAATTTCGTAAACCTGCAGTGCCTCTTGTCTGTAACCCGTGACATCTATCATATATTTTATTACTTCGGTTTGAAAATCAATTATCTTCTTTAATGAGTGTACAGTGGATGCTCGTACCCACCGTTCTTTGGAATGTTTAATCATATCTGCTTCAGATTTTGGTTCATCCTCTAGAGTTCCCATGATGTACCTACAATAAGCTTAATATTCATCAAAGTACTCAGCAAACATCGTTAATGTGATGTCCTAAATGCACCTTATCAAATGTTTTGAATTAGGCGGAATGTGATATTTTTCAGCATCAAGTGTTTTATTTGACATGTGACAACATATGAATAATCTATCAAACATCAAAAAAGCATTCATTCATTTATTTATTATATTTACACTTGCATTGTTTGACAAATTTTGTATGAGTTTGAAACAGAATGAGTGGGTAACATGAACCTACCTGCATACCCATTTAGCAACCACATCGAAGTAAGCCATAGTGTACAAGGATTTTTGAGCTCCGACATAAAATAGTTTATTATTACCAGCCGATATTGAAAGTGCTGACATGTACAGTTCTTTTGGATAAATCAAGGGTGTCTCATTAATTCGAAGACTCGGATCAAGAAAGCGGTAATAATTTCAATAACCCGTGCACAGTATCACATCATCTATTTCGGCCTTTGTGTTATCTGTAAAAACAGCTTCTTTAGCATGGAACCGTTGCACACCGGGACGCACCTCGATACCTTTAGGCCAGTTAGAAATAAGCGACTTTGTTCTATATGAAACAATGATTTTTGACGCTCCAAACTTTAAACATTGAATGGCAATATCTTCCGCCGAAAATCCAGAGCCAATTATTAGCACAGCTTTATCTTTGAACATGTGACAGTGACGTAAATCGCGCAAATGCAGTACACTGCCCTCGAAAGCATCTAATCCTGAAATATAGGGCGTATAGGGATATGTAAAGGCACCGCTACAAACAATCACGTGACTAAACGTTTCGTTTATTACGTTTTTGCTAATTAAGTTTTCGTATGTGACATGAAACGTATGAGTGCTGTCGTTATATGATACATATCTTACAGGCGAGTCAAACCGAACAAACTGTTTCAAGTTGAAATCTCTTGACCAACGACCTGAAATTTGAAGATTAAGAATGTTTTGATTCACAGTTTTCATAAGTTCGAAAATACTACATTGAACTTTATTATTTCTTTCCTTTTTTCGGTAATATTGTCAATATTTTGTTATTAGTTTTATGATATATACATTAATTCAGCCTTATTTCAATTGTTCGAATGGTTTTTTAGCTACATGTAATAAGAAAAAAGGACAGTGTATCACTTAAACCCGCCAAAAATAATTTATATTTTTTTTTAATAACGATTGGGAAGTAATCTTACCTTCGAGATAATCTTTAACCACAGGTACAGAGATATAGGACGGTACACTTTTGCCGTAATGCTCCTCAAATGTATAACCAGGAAACTCTATATTTGATTCTTTAGGAGCGTTTGTCCATAAATCATTGTACATACAACTGTGAACTGGCTCGCCGTGTTCATCGAATCCTTAAGTAAGAGGAGTATCAGAAATCAAAATTATCTTCGATGTTAATTTCCATTATCTACTTTAGGTTTACTGTATAAGTGCAACATTGCCAGACAATAGATGTTATCCGGAACTCAGCAAGTATGTTTTTTTCCGAGCTCATCAGTAGGTTCAAACAAACTTTTACCGGTGCATTACCTGTCACAATGGATTAGTCAGCCTGTTGTGCTTATTTACGAAGTTGTAACTGTAAATGTTTATCTGTACCTCCGGATTAGCTTGGAAAAACACAAATATTCTTTATTCCGGAGTTGCATAAACTTATCTTTTTATACATGTATGTTCACGAAATTATATAAATTTTATGAAGTATTAACTAAAATTCCGATTTACATAATCAAGTGCTTAACCATTGTGAAAAATTGAAGGCAATATTAACTTATCAACAATACACAACTTACATACTCATATAACTTGTGAGACTGATTTTAATCAAGATACTAGTTGTCATGCATTCTTGGTTGTTCGTGCGTATAAAAGTACACATTTTAACTCAATATAAAATGCAATATTTATTGCAATATAAGATAAACTGTCGTGATAAATGTTATATCCAATGCTCATAAGGCGTTCAGCCTTCAATATGAAAATTTATTGCACTCATATCCATGTAAAATATAATTGACAGTTCAAAAACATTTTATTACCAATTTTATAATTACGTTGCCTCGCCTAAGTCTTACGAAATTAACGTATATTATAAAGAAATGGAAACGTTTCATTCACATCCTGTAACTAACTTGCTACATGGGTTATAATACAGTAATGGAGACGATTATTGTCTTATTAAACCAAACGCCTCAAATCTCAATTTTATCTTAAATTGTTTTATGCACGTGTGTCAACTCAATCAAATGCTCGAATATTCAGTTTATCATATGTATGTACATCCTTTTTTGTCTTTGCTATATTTAGAATCTAATAAATTATTTAAATACAAACCCGTCCTCCAGGTTCGATTCCATTGGCCTCCCCAAGTACTTTGCTTTTCAAAACACACCACTTCCGGCATCTTGTCACACTGACAGAAATGCCACAATGCTGACATGCCTGAAGGGCCAGCTCCAATTATACACACTCTCATCTTGGACATGCCCCTAGATTCTGAAACATAAATGGTTGAAATTATTTGTACAGTGAAATCATTCCAATGTTTTCATTTTTATATATCAAATTTATTTAATTGGCATTGTCATTTAATAGTATTCTGTGAAATAAGTGTATCATACATTTAAAACATTATTTCAAGCACGAAATAGGAACGCATTTTTAGCCAGCATTTGGGTGTGTAACTGCATTAAATCATCTTAATTGCACTAAACAAACGAAATATTAATAACAAATAATCAATGTACAGTATTAAATGGCTTTAAAAAACGTTTAAAATATGCTTAAATTTTAAAACACGCATCAATGTACATTGTGATAAACACATACCGACCTCAGTTTTAAAATTCCTTTCGGTAGCGCTTTTATTTAAAACAAGTTTCGCTGTTACTATAAGTTTGAAAATAGATTTTGTATATATATGTAATCATCAGGTGTAACGATATTAATGGTTTTGAATAAATCGTTAAATGTTGCATTACATATTTGGTAAAGAATTAAATCATGCTGTCTACACAAATAGTACATGTAATATGAATTGAAGGTAAATCAAGTATGGACGACTCTAAGTCAGGTCTTATCTATTAATGAAATTATGCAGAAAATACGTATAATAATACTGCATACGTATGCCTTTCAGATACTTGTATTTTACTTATAGTAAGAATATATCGTTACTTTTTGTTCTAGACTCGAATAAATTATACATATGCCAAAATCTTATTTTTTACCTAATCTTTTATTTTTCTACATTTTACACAATTAAAGATGACATTTTGAACGCGTAAAATAACGTTTAAACTATATCATTTGAGAACAAAGCAGAAAACGTACTTACCAACATGGGTGGATTCTTTCATATAACAAAGCCGATCATGTAGCAAGTTTTAAAGTGTATACAACTCTATTTTAAGTTTAGTGTTCTTTGATCCTATAAAATATACAAAACAAATCGTTAAATGTCCAAAGTCAATGTTAGGATTAAAAGGATAGAAAAAATTGACCTCATCGTAAGAAGTACACTAGATATCTTATTATGCGATTTGTTTACGTTGGTATGCGTGTATATACTGCTGATGCTTCTTAAACAACTTTGAGGGCTCATGTACGTTCCTTAATGGAAATATACTTTCATTGATTGCATGCTTAACTGTTTATAACAAGTCGGCTACCTACTGTTAAATGTACTGAATGATTCTATTCTAACCAAGTTGACTATGCAAAAAATGTAAAAGTTAGAATAATGAAATCACTGATAATGAAAAATGAAAATAGAAATGAGAAAAATGAAGGCGGATCTGGAAGATAGTAAAAGTGATATAAAAACATATGTGCCACGCCAAGACAAAACCAACATATTGGTTTGCGACCAGTATGGATCCGCGAAATATTATCAGGATCCATGCTGTTCACTATCAGGTTCTCTTCAAATCGAATGAAATCCTATTAGCAAAAACAACGAATATCCACATACTACACTAGATGAATCATATTCAGATTCAAAACATGTCAAGCCAAACTTGTACTAACATACGAGTATGTAAGCCTTTGAAGACTTGGCATTTGATTAAATTGTTGCGAGGGAGTTGGAAATCTGGATCCGGTTGTTCAAAACATTGGTTAGTATTAACCAGTGGTTAAATTCATTATCCGTTCGTTAAATTTTGTCTGTTGGATAAATTCTGTTGTTCAAAACTTATCCAATGGATAAAGTGGTTAACTTTAACCAGTCCTATGACCATCGGGTAATGCCCTTAACCAGTGGATAGTCATCATCATTAAAACAGTAAAAATCCTTAAAACCTGTTTAAAACCAGATTTTTGTTGCAAATATATGTTTATTTTTCTTCACTAGAACATTTCATATAAAATGCATAGGATTAAATTGAAACATTTCTTAAAAAGTGCTTTTAGAACCCTTTTCAATCTAAATTTATTGTTGTTGTAGTTCAGAAAATTCAGTTAAACAGTCATAATTTTCTTATTCTATAATAAAACATACATGTGTCATTACTCATTTTCTTAGTTAGAACACTACTCATCTAATGGATGTAATTTCAATTCAAAATTTGAAAAAAAAGTTGTTTGTTAATTTTTCTTATGTGCGTCTAAGGGAAAAATAAATCTAGCAATACTTTAAGGCCTCTGATATACCTTTTGTTTAATTCCAAAAACAAGAAAGCAAAAAACATGCGAAATGAATTTTTGGGAGCTTTTTGAGTCTAATAAATTTTTTATTCATCAAAAAATCAGCCATTTTGTTTCCAGAATCTCTAACCAACCCTGTTGCATTGTGGTACTTAACCAGTGGATAAATACACTGTAGCCAGTGTACTATCCAACTATTGAACAATGAAATTTTATCCACATTCTCTTATGTTGTAGAGTTTGCAATGGAATACATTTATTAGAGTTTCCGAGGTAAATTGTGAAGATTGTTGTAGCTATGATTTGTCATATTATGTGCTTTTAAATTCAAATGCTTACGCCGTCGGACTATGTATTATTGGGACCATATGCCGCTTTTCATGGAATGGCACTTACGTGTCACATTGAAGGTTCCATGATAACCGTCATATGAACACATCTGTGGATGTTTCTAAATTCCGAATTGTACCAGTTCGTGTTAAATGTTGAATTTACTTTAGCCTGTGCCAGGGTGCGTGGACGATAACTGGCACTTTACAGTACCGTCCATGAACAGGCTCAATCAAACCGAGCCTGCAACATTATAAATATATGTATACTGGTCATCTGGTCATCATATTGTATTATTATAATTTGCCGTTGACTTCAAACCACTTGCCCCTCACCGCTGTAGGTTCGAATCCCGACAGGGACTTTGGATTCTTTCATGTGAGGAAGCTATCCAGCTAGCTTACGGAACGTCGGTGGTTCTACTCAGGTGCCAATTCGTGCCTGAAATAATGCACGGAAGAGCACCTGAGGTCTTCCTCCACCAGTAAAGCTGGAACGTCGCGATATGACCTATACCGTGTCGATGTGACGTAAAACCCAAAACAAACAAACAAACAAAATTATCATTTAAGGGCCACAAATTACTACAAACTGTTTATTCGTATCATTGTATGTAGATTACGACCCCGGATTACGTGTGTTCCGTATCACAGGTCGCAATTTTGTCTTGTAACATCACGTGGTACAAGAAAAAAACCTAGATTAAAGAATTCTGTAGAATAATAAAAAAGTACCTTCCCGTTGGCGGAAAAGCGAACGGGCGTACGCGAGATTTTTTTCTGTGAAATTATCGGTTCGCTCTTAATTTGTCGTGTCTTCGACGCAAAGGCGAAAGGCAAAGACACGATAATTGGCCAATTTATCGGGTCTAAGTTTCGTCGTGTCTTCTCCCCAAAAGCCGAAGACATGATGAATTGGCCAATAATATTATCTTAGCCTTTCATATTTTGAGGCGAAGAATCGACGATACGAGAAATATAAGCTGCCGATAGGAAGATTTCTACCTGCGGGCATGATAATTCTGCAGTCTTCACCTATTTAAATATCATTATGTTTCCTAAAATATATTCTGTCTTCGTGTCGTTGCCCAAGCGGAGACATTATAAATGAGCATAATATCTTGTCCTCTTATGTTCGCCTTCGACTTTCGAGAGACGACTATGATAAACAAGATCAACAAGGAAAGGCGGCGTTCAATGAACGCAACCCCCATATGACCCAGTAACAAGAACCAGTGGCAAGGAGCCCACGCGGACCCCAAACAAAAACAGGACAGGGCAAAGACAGAGCACGGACACGAAGACACGAACTGGCAGATATCAGCCACCCTGACGTTATAGCAAAATTGTCTTTAACGACGGTATAAACGGACTGATGTTTTGTTTGATGTTCAAGTACTGTAACCCAACGAATATTCGCGACCAATTAATATTCGCTTTATTCGCGGATAGGCACGAAGCGCGAATATTTGTTTGCGCGAGTAAGTCCGCACGATTTCGCGAATAAATTGGAGATAAATTTTTATTTTAGACGTTGTTCATGCAAAGCTACTTGACCGGATATATTCGAATTTTACGGGCACCTGTTAGGAAGTAATGAATTGTTATGAATATTGCCATAAAGCAATAAAAACACAAACTAAGTAAACTACTACAATGTTATGAATATCAAAAGAACTCTCTGTCAATATAGCAATCAAAATAAACATCCACATTTTAATACAGTTTATGAAATACTAGTAGGCCCATTGTCAATCACGTTCCGTGATCACAATTCACTTACCAATACAATATAAGGCTAGCGTATTGTTAATCCCATTTAAGACACCAATAATGACCTCAATTATTAAAGATTAATAGTCGGCTAATCGATTTTACGGCCCCATCGGACTTTCCAATCCGCGAATTTTTTTTTCGGAAATCAAGAAAACGCGGAATTTAATATTCGCGAATATGTCCGACCTCGGCAAAACGCGAAAATTTGTTACAGTATTAATCATGCTTGGATACAATGCTATCAAATTAGCCTCGTTTTCATTTCCCATGTCCTAAAATATCCGTATTAATTTCGTCATTTACTCCACCATTCCTCATTTCACTTTCCAAAGTAAAATAACATTCATGTCAAATCCATATTATACTCTATCTAGACTCGTTTTCATTTTCTGTCCAAAGGCTCCATATCAAATCCAACCAAAATGATATTGATAATTATAATAACAAAAAGACAAAAATAATAATTTACAAGTATATGTCAACCTCTCGGTGTAATAAGTTTGTTATTTATTGTTGAAAAATGTTTGCTCTGTTATTGTACATTAAAAAAAAGTCAGTATTAATAACTTAGTTTTAGCTTTATATGAAAATAAGATCTTCAGAAGCCCAGCATCGTTACAATGATACGGTTGGTCATATATGATTTTAATGTACATTAAAAAAAAGTCAGTATTAATAACTTAGTTTTAGCTTTATATGAAAATAAGATCTTCAGAAGCCCAGCATCGTTACAATGATACGGTTGGTCATATATGATTATAATGTCTACATTATGAGGAAAGAATGTAGTTTTGGTTATCGATAATACTGCGTAATGTTGTCAAGAGGCCTTTTGTTATCCCTATTGTCTATTTTGGAAATTGTGAGGTTTTTCTTTTTAATTTCATGAGTACATTCATATTTTTATGTAACATGTAACATTCGTACAACAAACTTAATATACTAATATAATTTTGTATAATTAATTTTTCAGGAATGTTTGAAGACTGTCGTCTTTTATATCCATAAATGCCGTCTGCATAGGCGCCATATTGCCTGTAAATATAGAACGGAAACTGTGGTCCCTGTATTTGTCTATACCCTGTTCTCGATGTTTCATCCAATCCAATAGAATGTCGTAAACCTGCAGTGCCTCTTGTCTGTAACCCGTGACGTCTATCATATATTTTAGTACTCCGGTTTGAAAATCAATTATCTCCTTTTATGAGTGTACATTTGAAGCTCGTACCCACCATTCTTTGGAATGTTTAATAATATCTGCTTCAGATTTTGGTTCATGCTCTAGAGTTCCCATGATGTACCTACAATAAGCTTAATATTAATCAAAATGACCAGCAAACATCGTTAATGCGATGTATTTGCTTTCATCAAATGTCTTAAATGAGGCAAAATGTGATATTTTTTAACATCAAGTGTATTATTTGAAAAGTGACAACATGAGAAGTATCTATCGAAACCACAAAAAGTATTAATTCTTCTTACTTATTATAGTCATAGTTGCATTGTTTGACAAATTTTGTATGAGTTTTAAATAAATTGAGTGGGTGAAATGAACCTACCTGCACACCCAATTAGCAACCACATCGAAGTAAGTCATAGTGTACAAGGTTTTTTGAGCTCCGACATAAAATAATTTATTATTACCAGCCGATATTAAAAGTGCTGACATGTACAGCTCTTTTGAATAAATCACGGGTGTCTCATTAATTCGAAGACACGGATCAAGAAAGCGGTAATAATTTCGAAACCCCGTGCACAGTATCACATCATCTATTTCGGCTTGTGTGTTATCTGTAAAAACAGCTTCTTTAGCATGGAACCGTTTAACAACTGGACGCTCCTCTATACATATAGGCCAGTTTGAAATAAACGACTTAGTTCTACAGGATACAATGATTTTTGACGCTTGATACTTCAAACAATGAACAGCAATGTCTTCTGCCGAAAATCCAGAGCCAATTATTAGAACAGTTTTATCTTTGAACAAGTGACAGTGACGTAAATCGCGTGAATGCAGCACACTCCCCTGGAAACTATCTAATCCTGGAATATAGGGCGTAAAGGGATATGTAAATGCTCCGCTACAAACAATCACGTGACTAAACGTTTCGTTTATTACTTTCTTGCTAATTAAGTTTTCGTACGTTACAAGAAATGTATCGGTGCTGTCGTTATATGATACATATCTTACAGGTGTGTCGAATTGAACAAACTGTCTCAAGTTGTAATCCCTTGACCAGCGACCTGAAATATGAAGTTTAAGACTGTTTAAAATATTTAAAAAAATGAGGGTATGACCTGTAACACTTCAATGCAGTTAATTATTTCATATTGAATTAGAGTCTATCTTTTTGTTATTGTCTTTATAAGGTAAACAAGTATACATAAGAGAAGTTTTGTTTTCAATCGATCGAATGGTTTCTCAAATATATATTTTGGAAAAAAGAACAACCTACTGTATAATCATGTGTATAATCAAGATGTTAATTTATTCACCTAAAATCCCTTACATTGAGATACTGGCTTGACATGATACTGAGGATGCGCAATAGGTATTTATAAACTAGCAAATAGCTGATATTGCTACATTTACCTTCAAGATAATCTTTAACCACAGGTACAGAGATATAGGAGGGTACACTTTTGCCGTAATGGTCCTCAAATGTATAACCTGGAAACTCTATATTTGATTCTTTCGGAGCGTTTGTCCATAAATCATTATACATACAACTGTGAACTGGCTCGCCGTGTTCATCGAATCCTGAAATAAGAGGAATATCAGAAATCAAAATTATCTGCGATGCTAATTTCCATTATCTACTTTTAGGTTTAATGTTCAAATGCCACATTGCCAGACAAAAGATGCTATCAGGAACTCAGCAAATATGGCTTTTTCCGAGCAAATCGGTAGGTACAAACAAACTTTTACCGGTGCATTACCCGCCACAATGGATTAGTCAGCCTGTTGCGCTTATTAACGAAGTTGTAACTGTAAAAGTTTGCCTGAACCTACAGATAAGCTGGGAAAAACCCAAATATTCTTTATTCCGGAGTTTGTGTATTTACACATCCGAAAGCAGAGCAATTTCACATCACAGGAGTTGTTATTTGGAATTTGGCAAATTTGGGTATTTTCAAGCTAATAACCTAGTACAAATAAACTTTTACCTTTGAAGCTCCAATGTGCACTGACGTATACAACATATAAGTAACACTTGTAACAGAACGATGTTTCATTAATTACATTTTTTTGAATTGTTTACTTTCCAGGACGCAATTTTTCATGGAGGCATCCATTTTGATTGTCTTGACAAGTACATTATAAAGGAAGTAATTTGATTGGCACATATCAATTATAGTAAACGAATCGATTTTTAGATTATTTTCATAATTATCATTAATACAATGTCATTTTGATTATGCGTGTGCCTCCTGGTATTTAGGGTTGAGTCAAAATCTAAAAAATAGACTTCAGGCCACACAGAATAAGTTGATGAGGTTTATACTTAATCTCAGTCCCCGTACTCATATCGGGGGGGGGGGGGGGGCTCATTTTGAGGAAGTAGGTTGGTTACCAGTACATCTGAGGGTAAATTTCCTTATTCTTGGTCTTGCACATAAGATACATAACAATAGTGCACCTAGTTATTTAAATGAGCATTTTCAAATTGCAAATCAGGTGTACTCTTACTCCACTCGATTTAGAGATAGTAACAGTTATTCTATTCTAAGAATTAAGGGTTTCGGTAAGAAAACATTTGTATTTAATGGTTGTCAGGAATGGAACAGGTTACCAACACATCTTAGGTTCATAACAAGTCGTGATAATTTTAAAAAATCTCTTAAGAAACATGTTATGCAATCAATATCTGTTTAGTCATTTTAAACTAGTCATCTTACCTAGTTTTTGTTTATATATTTGTTATGTTTAGTGCATATTTTAGTAGTACCTATTCATTGTCAAACATATCTATCATAATAATTATGATTATAATACATGTGTGATTAATTTTGTGACGGAAATACTTATGTGCAAAAATTGATAAAAGAAATTGTCATTGAATAATTTATGTGCAATACTTAATAATTAGTAAATATTTTGCCTTTCTGGTGTCAAATGATTCTAAAGACCACAATGGAAATAAGTCGGCTTATGCCTTTTTGTGTCATCCTTAGTATTGAATATATGGCATCAACACATGCACGTTCATGTTTACATGTATCTCTTGATGTTGACATTGAATTTGTAGTTGTTTTATGGCATGTATTTTTTTACCAGAATAAAACTATCTATCTATATCTATAAAACTATCTATCTATCAAATCAATTGTTAGTTTACTGTCTGGAAAGAAATAAATAGTCGAAACTTGTCATCATTTGTAAGTTCGGTACTGCACCGTCTAGGTCAGTACAACAAGGCTCAAGCCTTGACTTTAAATAAAGACTTCGGTCTAAAAGTAAACACTTTTAATTTACTGTCAATTTATAATTTCATAAAGCTGAACTTATCTTAAATAGGAATCTTTACTTAAAAAAATAAACCTTTCACCCTTAGACATATAAAATTCATAAATGGGACTTGATTATTGTTTATTTAATTTTTTTGGTTGTTCTTTGTCTCCCAACAACAAACCTACAGAATACATGTACCTTATCACGGCTAAATTGTGATCACTCTATTCCGAACGATTTTTATTTAAAACTGCCACTTTTACACACTATTGCAAGTACTTTTGACAGCTGTAACGGTAAACGTTTGTATAAATTATCCAGATTAGTTTGGAAAACTCAAAATATTCTTAATTCCGAATTAAGTTTTAAAGCAACATAGAAACGCAGAAATCCATATTTTTCTTATTTCTATAGAACTGTCAAAGATGTGTTAATAATGAATTTAGAGCATGTTACATGTTTAAATACTGAAGAATTTAGAGCTGAACATGCCGTTTTGTGTCGTTAAGGTAGCAAAATGTAAACAAATTAGTAAAACAATATGTTATTCAAAAAAATAAAATGATATCATTTCTAAAGCATAACGGACCTTTAAAAATAATCAGCTAAAAATCAAAACGACAAGCTTGGGGAAATATACTTATATCACTTAGACGATTTATGTTGAAAGATTAATTTGGTTCCCTGTAAGTCTTTGTTTTCTGGGGGCGGGTGAATTACAGCACCAAAATTCATTTCATAAGTCGACTTTCAATCTTTACTGGCGAAAACGAACACAGGTGCTCCATTATGTATCATTTTAGACACAAACTTGTCCCTTGAATAAGAACCACCGATGTTCCGTAAGCTAGATGGAAAGCTTCCTCACATGAACGAATCCAAACTCTCTAGTTGGATTCGACCGTAAAGTGTCAAGAGGTTTTTTTCGTTTATTAGTTCAGCCTTAGTAAACTTCTAGTTCCCTGCTAGATGCCCACTCAAACTGAAGACCTTATCTAATTTTTCGAATTGTAATTAAATGTCTGTGAGATATTGTATTCAAATTGTAATAAACAGTCCTGTTTTATCATATTTTTCTGTTGCTACACTTAACCCGTTTATATTTGAGCCGCGTCACGACAAAACCAACATAATAGGTTTGCGACTAGCATGGATCCAGACCAGCCTGCGCATCCGCGCAGTCTGATCAGGATCCATGTTGTTCGCTATCGGTTTCTCTACTTCTAATAGAGTTGGTAAGCGAACAGCATGAATCCTGATCAGACTGCGCGGATGCGGAGGCTGGTCTGGATCCATGCTGGTCGCAAACCCATTATGTTGGTTTTGTCATGACGCAGCTCATTTCATTTCTTAAATGTCAGTTGACATATACCAACTGAATTACATAATAATTGATTTCGGTTTATGAACGTACCATTTTTGGATATAAACTATTTTTGTTAAACATGTATTTTCACGAAATTATACATATATGTAATTGTATATGAAATATTAACTAACAGTCCCATTAACTTAATTCAATGCTACCATTGTAAGCAATTGAAGCAGTATTAATTCATTGACAGGACATAGCTAACATACTCATATAACTTGTGAGACTAGAGTTTAATTAAAATACTAGTTAACATGCATTCTTTATTGTTATTCGATCGTATAGTAGTACACCTATTAACTCAATTAAACTACAATGTTTATTGCAATATAAGAAAAACTGTTGTGATTAATGTTATATCCCATATACTAATAAGGCGTTAGCCTTCAATATGAAAATCTATTGCACTCAATTCCATGTAAAATATAATTGACAGTTCAAAAACATTGATTGTAGCATTTTGTTACCAATTTCATAATTATGTCGCATCGCCTAGGTCTTACGAAATTCAGGAATATTATAAAGAAATGGAAACGTTTCATTCAAATCTTGCAACTAACTAGCTACAAGGGTTATAAAACAGTAATCCAGAACCTAAATATTTCCAACACCGATCTCGATGTTATCTGAAAATGCTTACGCAACAGTTGCATATGGGGTCAACTCCATTAAATGCTCGAATATTCAGTTTATCATATGTATATACATCCTTTTTTGTCTTTGCTATATTTAAAATCGGATAAATCATTTAAATACAAACCTGTCCTCCAGGTTCGATTCCATTGGCCTCCCCAAGTACTTTGCTTTTCAAAACACACCACCTCCGGCATCTTGTCACACTGACAGAAATGCCACAATGCTGACATGCCTGAAGGGCCAGCTCCAATTATACACACTCTCATCTTGGACATGCCCCTAGATTCTGAAACATAAATGGTTGAAATTATTATCATTCCAATGTTTTCATTTTTATATATAAATCATTAAATCAGCATTGCCATTTCATTCTATCCCGTTAAATCAGCGTATCATACATTTTAATAATTATTTCCAGCACGAAGTAGGTAACAGTTTTAAAGCCAGCATTTGGTCTATTAAATCTGTCGTGCATCTGTCTTAATTATATTATATGTTAACTAAAAACATCAACCTGTACTGAACGAAACACTAATCATAAACAAGCAAGTATCAATGTACATGGTAAATTATACATAACGAATCATTAGTCACAGTAACAGTAATTATCTGGCTTTAAAGTATGTTTAAAATAATTTTATGCTTAAATGTAAAACACGCATTAATGTACATTGTGATTAACACATAATAACCTCAATTATAAATTTCATTCGTTAACGCTTTTATCTTAAACAATTTTTGCTGTAGTAGTTTACTATTGATATATTTTGCGTAGTTTGAAAATAGATTTTGTACATATATGTAATCATCAGGTGTAAAGATTTTAAAGGTGTTGGGTAAACCGTTAAATATTGCATTTCAATCTTTGGTAAAGAATTAAATTCAATAGAAAGTTCATGCTGTCTACACAAATAGATAATATTACATGTAAAAGGATCTGAAGCTAAACCTAGTATGAAGTATGAACGATTCTAAATCAGGCCTGTGATCTATAAATGAAATCATGCAGAAAAATGCCGTATACGTATGCCTTTTAGATATTTGTGCTTTACTAATAATGAGATAATATCGTTATTTTTTGTTCTATATTCGAATAAATAATAAATAGGCCAGAATCTTATTTATTACTAAATCCTTTGTTGTATCTACATTTTACACAATTCGCATGATTAAAGATGAAATTTTTAATGCGTAAAATAACGTTTTAATTGAGAACAAATCAGAAAATGCACTTACCAACATGTGTGGATACATTCATATAACAAAACCGATAATGCATCTAGTTTTAAAGTGCATAAAATCTTTAAAGGTCATTACTCTTTGCTCCATTATTGTTAATTTATATATAAAACAAATTTTAAATGCTCCAAAGTTTAAGAACATTTGCCCTCATCACACGTAGTAAAATAGCTGTCGTATTATGCGACTTGTTTACGTTGGTATGCGGGTATATATACTGCTGATGCTTCTTAAACAACTTTGACGGCTCATGTACGTTTCATAATGCCAACATACCTTTAGTGTTGGCTTGTATAACTGGACATAACAAATAGGCTACCGACTGTACAATGTATTAAATGATTCTAATCTTACCAAGATGACTACGGAAAATGCCATTATCTACAATAAGGTTGCTCACATAACAAGCATAGTTTTTATCAGAAAACTATCAACGGAACAAAGTATATTATATTTTGAGGTTCTTGAAGAAAATTCCCAGCTCATACGGAAAAAATAGAATCCATGCTTCGGACAAGTATACGTTAGGGAGAAGCTCATAACAACCACTTGATGAAAATTGCCAATGAACGAACTTTATTTAAACAAATACAGTAAAAAGTGGAAAAATCTTATATGTAGCTGAGATTTTGACCTTTAAGTGTTGGAACTGAAAAAAAGATATGCAGATTTAATTTAATACGCCATTCTTTAGGTTATGATTGCTGATTGGTTGGGATTTTATAAGGTGACGTAAATAGACACGTGACTGTCACCAGCCTGTATAATGTAATATTTCAGTTCCCAGTATTCTTTGCCTATAATACTGACATGTGTTTTAAACAAAAACAAAAATAAATATTTAATTGTGTAACCCAGGTAAGGGGGCCAGTAAAATTTAACAATCCATTATGGTTTCCAACAAAGAATATTACTCAGGCAAGGTTGTTAATTTTGAATCGGATATAATTTCATAAAGCCTGTCATTTTCATGTCACATGACAAAAAACCTTCCTATGAGCAATTCTACGCTCGAACGATTTAATAAACTTTAAAGACTAACTAACAAGAGAGAACGTGAACCAAGCAGTTCCTGCATTATTTAATAAGCAAAGGTACTGATTCTAGAGGGGCTGGCGTTGACAAACAGAGCTGGAGTAAAGTCAGTTGTTAACCAAAATAGAGCTTGCGCTTAATTAAATGTATAGGTATAGTGAATGGGATGTTGGAATAAACAACAGGGGACAACTAGCCATTAACGCCGAAGTAATCCTTTAAGGATAGAGATGTAACAGCTTTTGATTGAATTCAGGAGATTATTTTACGGCAGCCATAGGAATAAAACGACACAGTTTAAAACTAAAGATCAATACTGCTTTTATTACATCTTACATGACTGGAAAAGTATGTTCTATCATTCTAGCTAATGTTTGGTAGGAAACCTAAGTTATTGATGCAATATTTGAACAACTGACTTAAGAAAGAAAATGACAACAGAGAATAAAAAATGCTAAACCGAAAGGCCGATATGACATAAAGGCAAAGCAACCTAGATCAGCATTTGCGAGTTGTAACATCTTAAACTTTTAAAACATTTTTTTATGTAAAAGAACTTTGCAGTATTTGAACATTTATAGATGAGACAAACTTTTGAATTGTATTTTTATGCTAAAATTTATGACATCTCTGTGTATTCTGTGATACTAGGAAAATGTTGGCAACATATTATTGTGTGCTTTTAAATGTACACTACACTTCAGTCTGTTAAAATTCAAGGTTTGAATTTTCTGTATACTATTCATAAATTAATCATCTGCAACTTTTATATATCATGTAGAGTCAAGATCTGCCAGAAGCGAGCTGTAGAAGAGTCACGACTAGAAAACAACAATATTATACCTGTCTTTCCGTATTTGACTACCTCTACAGGTAATGCTATTAACGGTACCCAAACCCGCCTTATTAGAGGCCAGAATGTCCTAACCCGTCTCTGTTAACTTAGAATACGATGTCGCCATCCTTACGTCGAACAATGTCTTAGACCTCGTCACCGGCAAGAAAGGACGCGTTGGGAACAAAAACATGCATGTTGGGACATTGTACAATGGGGAAGGGTTATCTCCTTGGACGAAAATAGAATAACTCTGCAGAAAAACAGATCAGCGGTTGATAGTATACCGCTTTCGCAATGAGCGCCATGTCGATGCATGTGTAATATAGCTGACCATTACCGACGGAGAAGCGTGATGGTTTGGGGTGGATTCCATTTTGATGGAAAAATAGACATTGTCATTATTAAAGTTAATCGAACCTTAACGCACGAAGATATATGGAGAAGGTACATCGTCCAGTTGTTGTACTATTCGTCAATACACGCCCGATACACAAGATAACGCCCGTCCCTATGTTACTCAAGATAATAGGTTTTTTTTTTCAAACATAACGGAATCACCTTGTTGCTCTGGCCAGTCCTATCTGGCGACATTTTTCGATTGAAAATCTTTTAGACCTGTTGAATATAACCGTGCGACACGGCCTAGATGGCACAGAATTCTCCAGTTATTGACTGCGGATATTCAGCAGAAATTACACAATATTCCGTTATGATCTATGAAATAACGTCATAGATCAGATCTATGAGGATACGTTGTCATGCTTTGATATATGCAGCATGCGGTCACCATAGGTATTGACAATATGGCGGAAAATGCAATTAAGAAAGTGATCGAGTAAAAGTGAATACAGTTCATATTGTTTAAAGTTTTTCTTTACGATTTATCATGCAATCTGATTAAGAATGGTTGATACCTATGCATACTACATATGTAAGATATTGAATAAATATTAGTAATTATATAGGATAGCAAGTTAGAAGATTTGCCTAGGATAGAAATATGCGTATACATGTAATAGTAAATAAAACAGTATGTGTTACAATGACACATTTGTGGAGGTACATGTAGTTTGTCTTTATTTATTATTGTTTGTTACCATAAGTACGATTTGACTGTAGACACATATCCAATGATGGGTTATTTTTAGGGTTAATATTAAGTAGTGAATCTTGCAAACTTCATGATTTTCCGAAGGGAAACAAATCTTCTGGCCTTATCTGATATTTTCCAAAGGGAGACTACTTTACTGATTTTACCTGATTTCATTGAAAAAAATTATATACAATGGATAACTGGTTAATACTTTTCTAAGGAATTAACTAATTTGCCAATGGCGTAAAAGGATGATTCCCTTTAAGCAACTCTAAACATCTTTTGATTTTCCTGCAAAACATTATCAAGTAGACAGTTCAAAACTTTTTTCTTTGATGCAAAGATGTTTCAAATATTTTAGGGGAGTACGTGGCCGGGTGGCTTCAAACATTTTCACCCCACCGCTGTAGGTTCAAATACTTTCAGGAATTTTGAATTCTTTCATGACAGTAAGCTATCCACCTAGATTTGTGGGCGTCTATGGTTCTTTTCAGGCGCCTGTTCGTACCTGAAATATGCACTGAGGGGCAACATAAGGTCCTCATCCACCAGTTAAGCCTAATGATATATGTAATTGTGCGGCGAAAAAAACAACCAATAAAAATGTTTTCTTGTCAAGTTCTTACGGTCCCTACTGACGTTCCTTGTTTTATTTTAGATGCAGGGAGTTTCATTCAATAGAATATTTGTAATAACGAATAAGTGTATCTGTTATTTGACTTTCTTCTCCTTTTTTGTTGGTCTTAATATTCAATGACGAGAAATTAAGGTGTCCTGCCTTGATATGCATCACTCATTCCTTATCGTGTAATTTCGATAGCATATGTACGAAATTTGTCTAAGCATAAGTGTGGATAATAGTTTGATATAACGTATGGTTTTAACTTTACTTTGTATTTACCTTTTGTTATATATTCAGTCACTTTCGGAGAAATTGCTATTTACTAGTTAATTATCTAGATGGGTCGACCGCAAACTCAAATTACTTTATATATTATTTTACAATGTTTATAAATATAACAAGGCGATGATTAAGAATACTGAATTTTATTGATGAAAATATCCCAGAAATAACTTGACTCTCTTTATTTCGAACAGTAATTATATAAAATTGCCTTAAGACCACCATATATCGATTTAATATGTTAAAGTTTCTCGACTATTCCTCAGAAGGGGGAATAAATTTTAAAAACAAAATTCAACCAACACAAACTTTTAAACATTATTAGAGACAGGGCGATACCAGCCTGTGTGGATAAAGGTTCTTTTCGTCGTCTCAATGATAGTAATATCCTGTTCAATGCAAGTAGCGTGGATATTCCAGAAGTGCCTCGGAAGACGAATGAATAGAGTACAACATGCGTATGCTTATAAACGGAGAGACAGGCAGGAAGGCAGACGGATGGACGACCAATGCATTAATGAAACGTGGAAAGAAAATAACAAAAAGGTCAAAATGGGAAGTCTAACCTTAAGATTTATTAATTGCCTGAAAGGACAAAACAGTAGATTTATGTACTAACAAAAGTTATGTACATGTATATTTTTGCAAAAAAATATACACGTTTAATTATATGTACATGAATATCGTAAATTCAAACACACCAGATTTCTGAATATATTGTATGTCAGTATTTGACACAATAAGACGTAATTGCAACGTACTTTTAACTGAGATTAAATGACATTAAGTGTAAATAAATCTGACAAAGATCTACTTTTATATAATTTTGTAAAGATAAAACAAACAATATAGTTCTTTGTTTAGAGTCACATAATTTCTGTGGGTTTTATTTTCGGGATATATTACAATGTATTACATTATTGTTAACCACGTGTTATTTCTGAACATATTTCACTAGATTCTATGATTGTAGACCATGCATTTTTATTCTTTTACTTTTTATTGACTATGTGTTATTTCTGGATATATAAAGTTATTTTTGTCCAGTCATATTTTTTTCGAAATATTTCACTATTGTACTCGTATACCATGTGTTATTTTTTGATACATTACATGACTGTTGACCATATATATATCTAAGATATAACATTATTGTTGACCACGTGTTTTTGCTGGATATATTACATTATTGTAGACCACGTGCTATTGCTGGATATATTGTCGTCTTGTAGACCAAGTGCTATTGCTGGATATATTGTCGTCTTGTAGACCACGTGCTATTGCTGGATATATTGTCGTCTTATAGACCAAGTGCTATTGCTGGATATATTTTCGTCTTGTAGACCAAGTGCTATTGCTGGATATATTGTCGTCTTGTAGACCAAGTGCTATTGCTGGATATATTGTCGTCTTGTAGACCACGTGCTATTGCTGGATATATTGTCGTATTGTAGACCACTTGCTATTGCTGGATATATTGTCGTCTTGTAGACCACATGCTATTGCTGGATATATTATATTATTGTACACCAAGTGTTATTTCTGGAAATATTTTATTATTGTAGACCACGTGTCAATAAGTTGTGTTTGGCCACCAGATTGTATTATTATAGCCTGGCATTTGTCTTGCTCTTTTTCAAGGCAATTTATGCCGTCTTTGTTTACGTCTTTCATGTTTTCTTTATAGAGTGTTTGGTATCTAAGACCAGGAACATTATGCATCACATATCCATATAGTAGCACATCATCAAGTTTGAAAAACGGAGTTTTTGATGCGGAAATATACAGTGAAGGCACTACATCATTTTTAATACTAACGAATTTCCCTCTACAAAAGTTCTTATAGACTTTTACTCCCCTAAATTGGTTTTCACTAACAAACCATTTTATTCGTTTATCTCTAAATACAGGTGTTGTTCTATAATCACAAAATACGTGCGCGTTTTTCACGGACTTGTTCTGATGAATTTTCTGGAAATATGAAAACATATTTACCAAAATATCGTCGTCAACTTTTACAATATGTTTCGCATTTCTACAACGTTCGGTTATCCATTTATATCCCATGACACCTTTGTGAGTAAGGTTGAAATACGTATCAACAAAGTCACCTTGAAGAATGTCTTTAAACTGATTAGCCTCTTTATTTATTATATTTTGAATAATTTCATTCTTCGGCTTTCCAATAAGAAAGACAACTCGAACAATTCCAAGGTGGTTATAATATTTATCATTTGTCCATGTCTCTCTAATTGCAAGACGACGTTCAAAATGATCAGTTGCTGTGTTAACGACAACAAGAACAGATAAATTACTAACAGAACTACAAAGATGTGGGTTTTCAATAAGATATGGAGCGTGAATTGTCAAGGGGTACTTTGGATTGGTCGCGTTTATTAGAGATGTAAGATTTGGTAACATAACAACCGGGTATTTAAGTCGTCTCTCAATGTCCTCTATACTTTCAGAATTGATTCTGTAGTCGCTGCGGGTCGCACCAAAGTAAGTGATAACACCGTTCTTCACGTATCTACTTACTGAAATCACGTGATACAGAAAATATACTCCAAATATGATACAAAAAAGTGTTAAATAGTTTATAACATTTTTCGGTCTGAGGATTCTTCTATACGAGTCTTTCATCGTGTACCTGTAAGAAATGGCTTATAGAGTGGTGTCGTTCAAAATTGTTGAATGTGCGGAAAAGTATATTGTGTGTCCATGCATGTTTTATTGCACCGTCATCTTTGCGCAACTTTTAACCATTTAAAAATCTGAAAAAGAAAACATATAGAAAATAGAAATAGAAAATTAATTGTTTTGATGTAATGCCGAGACAAAGAGGTTCATTAACAGCATGCAATTATGTCTGATTTTAACGAAGTTGTCTAAAGCAATCTATCAGAATGGGGCATTAGCTTTTTAAGGTGAAGGATCGATTGCATAAAGAATGCGCGTTTATTATTGAAATATGCCCAGAAGATATTTTAGCATACGTCTATATAAATAGATAACAGTTAAAAATTAACTTAAAATCAAAAGAACAGTCCATGTTTGGTATTTACATTTGATTAACATCACAGACGAGATTTATTGATCCAGAATGATAAATAACAGGGCAGTGCGCGTCTTCTTCGGAGTGTAACAAATCTCGTATGCGTTCTGTTTAAACTGTAAAATAGCACGCAGAATAAATATAACATGAACGCGCTTTAAATTGATTGTAGTAATGATTTCCTGAAAGCCGAATGTTATCTTTCATATTTACACAGGGTATGAATTACTCATATTAGCCCCTAGAGTGTTCTTAAGTGCATATTCAACTTTAAACAGTATTTATTTTCTTTAATGAATGCAGACATGCACGCTTTCCTGCAAAGTTATTTTTTTCAATATGATTTTTTTAATCATAGTACCAAAGATATTAGATATAACACAATTTGCAAATAAAAGTTTTTATCATAATTAATATGTAAAAAGTAGTCATAAACATTATTCATTGAACTTCGGTATCCTAATATTCGGCTACAGTTTGTTAAACTTACTGTATATGTTAAAAGCCCAACTGGACTATAAAAGCCAGCAGATGGCGCTAGAGCAGATTTCTAATAAATTTTATGCATGCTTCATTTTAGGGACCCTTTTTCAAAATTTTAAGATTAATTGCCAACTGCATTAAAACTACATTTGGCATGTATGTAGGCATAAATATTCTTGATAAAGATTGACCAAAATTATTCAAAATATAACTTTGTTAAGTGTGTTTCTTAAAAAAAAATACAGGCTGTCAAATTTGAAATTTTGAATTTTAAAGTTCCATTTAGTCTCAAAAATACTATTTTTGCATTTTACAAAAACTTTCTATTTTGGTATCCTTATCCGATTTCCAAAAAGGTTACTCATTGGCCTTATATCTAGGCCATCTTTTGCTTCTTTTGCGTTTGGCAGTTGGTAAAGTTTAAATGATGTAGTACTTTGTATGACAGTAAAATGCAATTTTGTTGGCATTTTTCTACCTTTGTCGCAAGTACGTTCACAATAAGCATTATTTTCTTAAGGTGAAAGCATATAAAAATTCTTAAATTTAAAACATTATTGACCCCCATTTTTTTTCCCTTTTCCCGGAAAAGAAAAAAAACCACTTAAATGGGACCTTAAGTTTTAAAGAAAAGAAAACAAGATTTAAATTTTTTAACCATTTTTTCCAAAATAACAGAAAAGAATTTAAAAACAAAACATAACCCTTCGCCCTTTGGGTTAAAATTTTTGGTTGGGTTTTTTAAATTTTTAGTTTTTATAAAGTTAATGTTAACAAAACAAAAGTAAGTCCCCACGTTACACATGAAACAAAGCGGTTAAAAAAAAACGGTATGGCCCCAATTTTTAAAAAAATTTGGGCATTTTCATCACGTGAAGGGGATTAAATCCCTTTTTTAATGGGGGAAAATTAAATTTCATAAAAATTTTAAACGGGGCCCTTTTGATTCTAAACTGAACAATACTATCCAGTGAACTAGCCGAAAAATATTATCTTAATCAAAAAAAATGTTCAGTATTTAAATGTAAAATATTATTTACTTAGTATTGAGATTGAAATCGCACGCTATCGTTGTGTGATAAAAATAATCTTGATGAAAAACACTACAAAATATTTTCTTGTATGTAATAGATTACAAACAAATACGGATTGAGCAGGAAGCTTTAAAGGTTTTTTTTTGAAAACTTTTCATTAGCTTAGTCAATTTGCATAGGGTTTAGTGTCATTGTATAAAAATAACTGCGTGAGTTATTGAGTGAATGAATGAAAGAATGCGTGTTTATGTGAGTGATTGCACGATTTGGTGAGTGAGTGAGTTGGTGAGTGAGTTGGTGAGTTGGTGAGTGAGTGAGTGAGTGCGTGAGTGAGTGAGTGAGTGAGTTGGTGAGTTGGTGAGAGAGTGAGTGAATAAATATACTAGTAATTCGGAGTAAATGACATTATTCATTCGCGCGGACACAGCAAGTCCCACCAACCCAACCCCCACTTTCCTCTCCGCATAAGCCAAACATAAGCTAGTATTTTTCCATTAAGTTTTTAGTGATAAAGTGTCTTTAAATATTCATTAATTATATTGTTATCAAAACATTGATTACCGTCAAAACGGTCATCGTGTCGTTTTAAAGCAGCATGCCACAAGATTTATGCTAATTTTGATTTACATTTTGAAAATGTATTAGAAAATAATAAAGTATCTTTTACATTGCTACTGGCGTGTTCAATCTAAGTTAATTACCAAATAAAGGTGAAAATGTGCAAAATAGCCCTTATTACGTTAGTCACACAGAACAATAGTCAAACAGTAGAAAGTTGGTGATATATATACTGCAAAATCAGCCATTTGTTACATATAACATTTAAATCATTACTCAAATTGTAAAATTTTTACTTTTTTAACCTTAGTTTTACTTTTATTAATTATGACGTTTATCAATTTTTAAAACTGCACGCCTCCAGATGCCGATAAAATCAACCTGAAAATAGTAACTAAGTATTGTAGGAAAGGTAAATAAGATTCGGGAAAATTTTAGTAAATAAACATGTAATGTGCGAAAATGAACCCCCAAAATTTTTTTTAAATATTTTTTAAAAATTTTCTTTGATTTCTACTGCGTTAAATAAAACCCGTTAAAAGGGGGTTTTTTCCTTTTCATATTTTTGACCCTTTTTTATTTGTAATTTAATTAGGGTTGCCAAAAGGGGACAATTTCATTTTTTTTGGGGAACTTTAAAAAATATTAAAAACTGTTAAAATAAAATTTTCAAAATTTTTTGAAAATTAAACATTTAACTGGAGGGCGTCCCGTTTAAAAGAAAATGAAAACCCCTGCCATGAAAAAGAAATTTCTTTTAAGGGGGAATAACGCCTATTTTGTCCTTGGTTTGTTAAATATATTTTTAAAAACATAGAAAGAGGGTAAAAGTGCTGAAATTTCCCAAAATTTTGATTAGATTTATTTAAAAATTTGCCCGCTGGCCACCCGCCCGGGACAGACCCCCCCTTCCGCCTTTTAAAGGGTTTTTGTCCATTGGGAAAAGGATAAGAAAAAAAAAAAGGAAGGTTTACCTAAAATAAGGAATTATTCCTTCATAAAAGGGATAAAACACGGCCACAATTAAAAATTTAAAATTTGGGGTTTAAGCTTTAAAAGAAATATTTAATACTCAGCTCCTATTTTAAATTTCCCTTTTTCCCCTGCATAAAATTAAGTTTGTAAACGCCGACTAACACTTTTCAAACCCAAGACAAAGGGAAAATAAAACAAAGGCGACAGGGGAAAGCCCTCGCCCTGTGGGAGTTTTCGATAAAAGCTTTCCTGTTTAATAAGGGGTCGGTTTTTTTTAAAAGTAAAAGGGAAAATTAAAATTTTCCCCAAAAAAAAAAACGAGTTACTGAGCATTTTGGGAAACACTATATCATCCCTATCACAAGAAAATTTTTGTGATCGCAAAAAAATACTGTTCTTACGATTGTAAAATTTAAAAGACCCGTTCAAACGTTAAAAAAAAAATATCTTGCCCCCAGTAATGTTGGGGTAAATATTAAACACAATAACCCCTTCCTGTTTGGGGTTTTTTTGCCACAATTGAGCTCACGAAATTTTACAAAATCCCCACATTTCCTTTCTGCATTTTTGGGGGGGGAAAAAAGCCAATTTTTCCAAGGCTTTTTGGCAAACCACAACTGGCCGCATTCAAATCTAAAAAAGCATACAAAAAAAGCCCTTTTTATTTACAACCTGAAATGAATGCATTTCGTGAAAAACAAAAGATGGTTTTTTTAAAAAACAAACATTAAACTTAAAAAAACAATCAAATGTTTCTAGATTCCCCAGCAGATACTTTACCCCATGGGTTTAAGGATTTTGTCCTTTTATTGTTTCTATTTTTATTTCGTCTGGCCCTTTTCCCATCCCTTTTAAAAAGAACGGCCTTTATTTTAGAGCAAAACTTTGGTTTATTTAATTTAATTTGGGCAGATCTAAAGAGGCAAGAAACACTTAAAACAAATTTTAAAATGATTAAAATGGACACAATTTTGTTAAAAGGAAAATTGAAATTGGCAACCTAGAACCTTTAAAAATGCCCCAAAAATCTCTTTTTTCCAAATTTTTAAAAATTCATAAATTTGGGAAATTTGACCCTTTGGGCATTTATAAGAGGGTAGATACATTATTTGTGAAAATTTTCACCCGGGGCCGTTAAATGTTTTAAAGATGAAATAATTTTTTGCCCTGCTTTAAAGATACAACTATTTATAGATAGAAAAACCAAAGATATCAATATAAATAATACTACTTCCCATCCTCTTTTCACTTTAAAATCCATGGTTTCACAATATTGAATTAAATTGAGTAATCCAATATTCATGCTCCTTCGTTTGAGAAACTTGGGAAGATAACGAGGACCGCATCTTCATATAGTTTTTTCATTTGATTGCTATTTCCAGAAATGAATACGGTATTGATATCAAAAAACAAACTTTAGAATATATCTTGTCCGATAAAGGAAATATAAATTTGGAATAGAGGTAAAAAATTGGACAACTTGTGTCGTGTAAGCAGGTATCACTTGTCTGTATATAGTAGTTTGAAAATTGAAATTACAAGGTGATATTTGCTCTTTGTGGTCCTGAAATTAGTAACAGGTGACCTTGCCAATTTAAAGTACTGATTTCCGCGCAATATGGTCGCGATCTTGGTCAACGGCCAGTCAACAGTTAAAACCAATGCGAGACCAGCAAAGAACTTATTTGGAAGAACGGAAACCCAATGCGCAGACAAGACCATGATGTGAATTTATATCAACTGGTTTAGGCTGTCAAATCAAAGCACTGAAGTACAGATCGACCGACTGTCTAAATAAATCTTTTAATTTTTGTTTACTAATGAAAAAAGTATGTTACTGTTATATAACATACTTATGCTGCTTAAATATGTTAATGAATGAATTTATTAGAATAATATGAATTTGATCCCCGTATAAAGGAGTCGATTTTATAGAAATGTTTGCATTTTATGTCAGATTTCATAAATAAATATATTTATTTACGTTACATTAAGGATATTCTTAAAAGTTCAAGACATTAAATTAATGTTTTAAAGGGACTCGAGTGAGGTTTAAAAGCCTAAAAACAAAACATTAAAATTTTGAATTTCTTACATAAATGAGCTGGGGTACTGTAAACAGAAATATATGCAACGCTAGTTAAGAAATATTCAGCAGGAATTACACAATATTCCGTTATGATCTATGATAAAACGTCTTAGATTAGATCTATGAAGATACGTTGTCATGCTGTGATATATGCAGCAGGTGGTCACAATAGGTATTGACAGCATGGCGGAAAACGCAACTTTGAAATTATAATTGATCGAGTAAAAATGACTACAGTTTATATTGTTTTAAGTTTTTCTTTACGATTAATTATGCAATCTGATTAAGAATGGTTGATACCTATGCATACTACATATGTAAGATATTGAATAAAATATTAGTAATTATATAGGATAGCGAGTTAGAAGCTTTGCCTAGGATAGAAATATGCGTATACATGTGATAGTAAATATAACAGTATCTGTTACAATGACACATTTTTGGAGGTACATGTAGTTTGTCTTTGTTTATAATTGTTTGTTACCATAAGTACGATTTGACTGTAGACACGTATATCCAATGATGGGTTATTTTTAGGGTTAATATTAAGTAGTGAATCTTGCAAACTTCATGATTTTCCAAAGGGAAACAAATCTTCTGGCCTTATCTGATATTTTCCAAAGGTTGACTACTTTATTGATATTTTAACTGGATTTTATTTAAAAAAAAAGTATATATACATTAGATGCCTGGTCGATATCCCTTTCTAAGGAATAAACTGATTGGTAAATTGAGTAATGGATGATTCATTTTAAGCATTTTTTATATATTTTGATTTTCCTACAGAAAATTTTCAAGTAGACAGTTCAAAACTTTGTTCTTTGATGCGAAGATGTTTCAAATATTTAAGGGAAGTCTGTGGCCGAGTGGTTAAGGTCGTTGACTTTAAAACATTTTCCCCTCACCGCTGTAGGTTTTAATCCTTTCAGGGACTTTGATTTATTTCATAAGCTATCAATCTAGATTTTGGGGCGACTGTGGTTCTTTTCAGGTGCCTGCTCCTACATGAAATAATGCACACAGGGTCAACATAAGGTCTTCCTCCACCAATAAATCTGGAAAGTCGCCATATGATATCTGTATTTGTGCGACGTAAAAACAACCGACCAATAAAAATGTTTTCTTGTCAAGTTCTTATGTTCACTACTGACGTTCCTTGTTTTATTTTAGATGTAGGGATTTGCATTATTTATTTTTCAATAGATTGTGAAACTTGTAATAATGAATAAGTGTCTCTGTTTGTTTATCTTCTTCTCTTCTTTTTTTTTGTTCTTAATATTCAATGATGTGAAATTAAGGTGTATTTGCTTGATATGCATCACTCATTCCTTATCGTGTAATTTCGAATGCATATGTACGAAATATTTCTAAGCATAAGTGGGGATAATAATTTAAATAACGCATGGTTTCAACTTGATTTCATGTTGTGTTATAGTCAGTCACTTTCGGAGAAATTGGTATTTACCAGTTTATTAATTAAATGGGTCGACCGCCGATATATTCTAATGTGCTGAAATCGTATAAATCAGAAAGCAAACTCAAATTACTTATATATTGTTTACACTTATTTTACTAAGTGTATAAATATAATAAGACGATGATTAAGAATACTGAATTTTATTGATTAAAATATCCCAGAAATAACTTGACTCTCTTTATTTCGAACAGTAATTATATAAAATTGCCTTAAGACCACCATACATGTATATCGATTTAATATGTTAAAGTTTCTCGACTATTCCTCAGAAGGGAAAATAAATTTTAAAAACAAAATTCAACCGACACAAACTTTTAAACATTATTAGAGATAGGGCGATACCAGCGTGTGTGGATAAAGGTTCTTCACGTTGTCTCAATGATAGTAATACCCCGTTCAATGCAAGAAGCTTGGATATTCCACAAGTGCCTCGGAAGACAAATGAATATATTACAACATGCGTATGCTTATAGACGGAGAGACAGGCAGGCAGGCAGACAGACAGATGGACGACCAAGGCATTTATGAAACGTGGAAAGAAAACAAAAACAAACAAAAAAGATGGGAAGTCTAACCTTAAGATTTATTAATTGCCTGAAAGGATAAAACCGTACATTTATATACTAAAAAACAGTTATGTACATGATTATTTTCGCAAAAAAGTTATACAGGTGTAATTATATGTCCATGAATATCGTGAATTCAAACACGCAAGATTTCTGAATGTATTGTACGTCAGTATTTGACACAATAAGAAGTTATTGCAACGTACTTTTAACTGACATTAAATGTCATTCAGTGTAAATAAATCCGACAAAGATCTACTTTAATATAATCTTGTAAAGATAAAGCAAAAAATATAGTTCTTTGTTTAGAGTCACATAATTTCTGTGGGGTTTTTTCGGGATATATTACAATGTATTACATTACTGTTAACCACGTGTTATTTCTGAACATATTTCACTAGATTCCATGATTGTAGACCATGCATTTGTTTTATATACTTTTACTTATTATTGACCATGTGTCTGGATATATAAAATTATTTATGACCAGTTATATATTTTGAAAATATCTCACTATTGTATACGATGTGTTTTTTTTATACATTACGTTATAATTGACCATGTATATATCTGAGTATGTAACATTATTGTTGACAACGTGTTTTTGCTGGATAATTTACATTATTGTAGACAACGTGTTATTGCTGGATATATTACATTCTCGTAGACCACGTGCTATTGCTGGATATATTGTCGTCTTGCAGACCAAGTGTTATTACTGGATATATTGTCGTCTTGTAGACCAAGTGCTATTGCTGGATATATTGTCGTCTTTTAGACCAAGTGCTATTGCTGGATGTATTGTCGTCTTGTAGACAAAGTGCTATTGCTGGATATATTGTCGTCTTGTAGACCAAGTGCTATTGCTAGATATATTGTCGTCTTGTAGACCAAGTGCTATTGCTGGATATATTGTCGTCTTGTAGACCAAGTGCTATTGCTGGATGTATTGTCGTCTTGTAGACCACGTGCTATTGCTAGATATATTGTCGTCTTGTAGACCACGTGCTATTGTTTGATATATTGTCGTCTTGTAGACCACGTGCTATTGCTGGATATATTGTCGTCTTTTAGACCAAGTGCTATTGCTGGATGTATTGTCGTCTTGTAGACAAAGTGCTATTGCTGGATAAATTGTCGTCTTGTAGACCAAGTGCTATTTCTGGATATATTGTCGTCTTGTAGACCAAGTGCTATTGCTGGATATATTGTCGTCTTGTAGACCAAGTGCTATTGCTGGATATATTGTCGTCTTGTAGACCAAGTACTATTGCTGGATATATTGTCGTCTTTTAGACCAAGTGCTATTGCTGGATGTATTGTCGTCTTGTAGACCACGTGCTATTGCTGGATGTATTGTCGTCTTGTAGACCACATGCTATTGCTAGATATATTGTCGTCTTGTAGACCACGTGCTATTGCTTGATATATTGTCGTCTTTTAGACCACGTGCTATTGCTGGATATATTGTCGTCTTTTAGACCAAGTGCTATTGCTGGATGTATTGTCGTCTTGTTGACACCACGTGCTATTGCTGGATATATTGTCGTCTTGTAGACCAAGTGCTATTGCTGGATATATTGTCGTCTTTTAGAACAAGTGCTATTGCTGGATGTATTGTCGTCTTGTAGACCACGTGCTATTGCTGGATGTATTGTCGTCTTGTAGACCACATGCTATTGCTAGATATATTGTCGTCTTGTAGACCACGTGCTATTGTTTGATATATTGTCGTCTTTTAGACCACGTGCTATTGCTGGATATATTGTCGTCTTTTAGACCAAGTGCTATTGCTGGATGTATTGTCGTCTTGTTGACCACGTGCTATTGCTGGATATATTGTCGTCTTGTAGACCACGTGCTATAGCTGGATTTATTGTCGTATTGTAGACCAAGTGTTATTGCTGGGTAAATTGTCGTCTTGTAGACCATATGCTACTGTTGGATATATTACATTATTGTTGGCTATGTGTTATTTCTGGAAATATTTCACTATTGTAGACCACGTGTCAATTAGTTGTGTTTGGTCACCAGATTGTATGATTATAGCCTGGCATTTGTCTTGGTTTTTTTCAAGGCAATTTATGCCGTCTTTGTTTACGTCTTTCATGTTTTCTTTATAGAGTGTTTGGTATCTAAGACCAGGAACATTATGCATCACATATCCATATAGTAGCACATCATCAAGTTTGAAAAACGGAGTTTTTGATGCGGAAATATACAGTGAAGGCACTACATCATTTTTAATACTAACGAATTTCCCTCTACAAAAGTTCTTATAGACTTTTACTCCCCTAAATTGGTTTTCACTAACAAACCATTTTATTTGTTTATCTCTAAATACAGGTGTTGTTCTATAATCACAAAATACGTGCGCGTTTTTCACGGACTTGTTCTGATGAATTTTCTGGAAATATGAAAACATATTTACCAAAATATCGTCGTCAACTTTTAAAATATGTTTCGCATTTCTACAACGTTCAGTAATCCATTTATATCCCATGACACCTTTGTGAGTAAGGTTGAAATACGTATCAACAAAGTCACCTTGAAGAATGTCTTTAAACTGATTTGCCTCTTTATTTATTATATTTTGAATAATTTCATTCTTCGGCTTTCCAATAAGAAAGACAACTCGAACAATTCCAAGGTGGTTATAATATTTATCATTGGTCCATGTCTCTCTAATTGCAAGGCGACGTTCAAAATGATCAGTTGCTGTGTTAACCACAACAAGAACAGATAAATTGTTAACAGAACTACAAAGATGTGGGTTTTCAATAAGATATGGGGCGTGAATTGTCAATGGATACTTCGGATTGGTCGCGTTGATTAGAGATGTAAGATTTGGTAACATGACCACCGGGTATTTAAGTCGACTCTCGATGTCCTCTATACTTTCAGAATTGAGTTTGTTGTCGCTGCGGGTTGCACCAAAGTAAGTGATAACACCGTTCTTCACGTATATACTTACTGAAATCTCGTGATATACAAAATATACTCCAAATATGATACAAAAAAGTGTTAAATACTTTATAACATTTTTCGGTCTGAGGATTCTTCTATACGAGTCTTTCATCGTGTACCTGTAAGATATGGCTTATAGAGTGGTGTGGTTCAAAATTGTTGAATGTGCGGAAAAGTATATAGTGTGACCATGCATGTTTTATTGCATCATCTTCTTTGCGCAACTTTCGACCATTGACAAATCTGGAAAAAAAACATAAAAAAAAATAGAAAAAGAAAATAAATTGTTTTGATATAATGCCGAGACAAAGAGGTTTTATCAACAGCATGCAAGTATATCTGAGTTTGCATCACGTGAAAAATGATTATCAATTTGTTTTATGATGAATTAATTAACATAAACAATATAAGCGCTTGTTGATTCTAAACTGCACAAAACATTATCGTGACTAGCCGACAAAGATTATTTAAATCAAAAGCTTTAGGTTTTAATGAAATGTTCAGTATTTAAATGTAACATATTATTTACTTAGTATTGAGGTTGAAAGCGCACGCTTTCGTTGAGTGATAATACAAATCCTGATGAAAAACACTACAAAATATTTTCTTGTATGTAATAAATTACAAAAAAACAGAAAGCTTTAAAGGCTTTTTTGAAATCTTTCCGTTAACGTGGTCTGCGTCATAAACTGCGTGAGTTATTGAGTTAGTGAATGAATGATTGAGTGTTTGTGTGAGTGATTACACGATTTGGTGAGTGAGTGAGTGCATGCCTGAGTGAGTGAGTAAGTGAGTGATTGTGTGAGTTGGTGTGTGTGTGAGTGAGTGAGTGAGTTGGTGAGTGAGTGAGTGAGTGAGTGAGTGAGTGAGTGAGTGAGTGAGTGAGTGAGTGAGTGAGTGAGTGAGTAAATATATTAGTTATTTGGACTAAATGACATTATTCATTCGCGCAGATTCAGCAAATATCACCGACCCAACCCCACTTTCCCCTCCGCTCAAGCCAAACATAAGCTGGTATATTTCCATTAAGCTTTTTGTGATAAGGTGTCTTTAAGTATTCATTAATTATATAGTTATCAAAACATTGATTACCGTCAAAACGGTCATCCTGTCGTTTTGAAGCAGCATGCCACAAGATTCATGCTATTTTTCATTTACATATTCAAAATGTGTTAAAAAATAATTAAGTACATGTATTTTATACATTGCTAACGGCGTGTTCAATCTAAGTTAATTACAAAATAAACATGAAAATATGCACAAAAGCCCTTATTACGTCAGTCACACAGAACAATAGTCAAACAGTAGAAAGTTGGCTACTGCAAAATCAGTTATTCATTGCATATTACATTTATATCATTACTCAAATCGTGAATATTTTCACTTTTTTAATCTTAGTTCACTTTTCTTAATTATGATCATCATGTTATCATTTTAAAAGATGTGAAAAACTTGTCATGAAAAAGAAGTTTCTTTAAGGTGAATAACGCCTATTTTGTCTTTGGTTTGTTTAAATATATTTTAACAACATAGACAAGATGCTAAAATGTGCTGAAAATAACACTTTTTGATAGATTTATTTAAAATTAGCTGCTGCCACCGCAGGACAGACCCCCAGTTCCGCCCTGTACGGTTTTAGTCCATTGAAATGGATAAGAAGAAAAAAAGAAGAAGGCTTACCTAAGATATAGGAATTATTCCTTCATAAATTTATTGTGCACCGCCACAATTAAATCTTCACTTTGCTTTAAGCTTTAAATGAAATGTTTATATACTCAGGTCACTATTTTATACTTCTTCACTGCATAGAAACGACTCAACACTTGTCAGACAGATAGGTAAAGTAAAATAATAGCGACAGTTAAGTACGTCGACATGTGCAATTACGATAAATGCGTTTCCTGTTTAATAAGAGTCGGTTTATTTTTAGAAACGTACATGTATATAATATTTCCAAAAAAGAAAAACGCAGTTACTGAACATGGTAAACACGTATATCATCAATATCACAAGAATTTCTGTGATCGCAAATATACTGTTCTTACGATTGTAAATTAAAGAGACCTGTTCATCGTATAATAAATATATCTTGTAGCTCAGTAATGTGATACAATTAAACACAATTACCTTCCTGTCTTAAGGGGTTTTAGCACACAATTGATCGCATCACGTTATGTGACAATATCACACAATACCTTTCTGCATTATTGTGGCAGTACACAATTTGACCAAGGCTTCTGCACGTTCACAATTTAAAACGCATACAACCAAGACTGTTATCATACACCTGAAATGAATGCATTTCGTGATTAACATAAAGATGTTTATCACAAACAAACATTATCTCATAGTAACAATCAATGTTCTAGATTCCCAGCAGATACTCACGAGGTTTAAGAGATTTGTACCTTTCATCTTTTTCTATTTCATTTCGTCTGCTTATATATCCTTTTAAATGAACGGCTGATTTAAGAGCAAGCTTTGTGATTCATTCGAATTTGACAGATCTATGAGGCAACATCACAAAAATCAATTTTACTTATTAACTAGGACACAATTGTTGTTAATGAAACTTGAAATATGGCAACCTAAACATCAAAATGCTCAAATATCTACTTAATCAATTTCAAAACATCTCATATTTGTAAATTTGACCCTGGTCATTTATAAGATGATAGATACATTCTTTGTGATACACACGGTGCCGTTAGTGTTTTAAAGATGAAATAATTTTTAGCAACCTGCTAAAAGATACAACTATTATAATAGAAGAAAAAAAGATATATAATAATAAAATCCTTCCCATCGTCTCACTTTAAAATCCATGGTTTCACATATTGAATTAATGAGAAATCCAATATTCATGCTCTTCGTTTGTAAAACTTTGGAAGATAAGAGGTCGCTCTTCAAACATTTTTCATTTTATTGCTATTTCCCGAAATGAATACGGCATTGATTATCAAAAACACTTTAGATATATCTTGTCGATTGGACTTTATTTGGAATAGCGTACATGGTCGTGATTAAAACTTGTCTTGTTATAAGCATTTATCTCTTGTCTGTAGTCCTTTGTGAATGGAAATTACAAAGTGATGTTTGCTCTTTGTGGTCCTGAAATTAACAACATGTGACCTAGCTTAAATTTAAAGTTCAGATTTTCGCGCAATATGGTCGCGATTTTGGTCAACGGCCAGTCAACAGTTGAAACTAATACGATACCAGCAAAGAACTTATTTGGAAGAACGAAAACCCCATGCACAGACAAGATCATGATGTGAATTTATATCACCTGGTTTAGGCTGTTAAATCGATGCACTGAAGTACAGATCGGCTGACTGTATAACTCATCACATTTTGTAATGAAATAATGGCATTAAAAATTATATGAGTCGTAGAAATACAGTGTTTAATTTGTTATGCTGATTTTAGGGAAATTTAGTGATTTAAGACGAATAGTCTTTTATTTATAATGGTCACTTTCGTGGAAATAGGTGTTTCCATGATTTAAACGTTTATCTAAGTATTCAAGGTTTAAAAGATTACATTCATTACGGAAACTTAAATTACCGACTTTGTCTGTTTTTAAAATGATTTATTCAAAAGAGGAAATTCATATAAGACCGTAAAAAGAAAAGCAACACAAACTTCAATTTTATATCATTTATTGCTTCTAACTCCGGTCGAGTTTTAATTTTTGTTAACCAATGGACAAATTATGTAACTGTTATAAATAGCATACTTATGTTGTTTGGATTTGTTAATGAATGAACATAAAATTCCTTTTCTGTAAGATAAGAATAATATGTAATTGATCCCTGTATAAAAGGAGTTGGTTTTATATCAATGTTTGCATTTTATGTCAGATTTCATAAATTGATATATTTATTTACGTTACGTTAAGGTTACTCTAAATAATAAGAGGATATCATTTTCGTTTGAGTGAAATATGGAATATTTTCACAAAACATGATCAAATGCCACATATTTTCAAGAGCCGGGACGGCGCAACTGCAATTGTACAGCGCTGTCTTGTTTTGCACGCGATATTTAGCGCTACATTGTGACGTCACGTAAACAACTCTTTAAACGTCTGTACAGCGTTAATGACTGAATTAAAGATACTGGTGTTCGGATTTATTTTCTTAGTTAGACCATTTTCTATCATTCTAGATAGTTTTAAAGACAAAATTCAACAAAAAGTTGTTTTGTATGACAAAATGGTGAAAGAAGTCCCTTAAAATAAATATGAGTTTTGACCCCACCCACTTTCATATTGATATTTTATATTTATTAAAAAAAATGAAATATATTTGACTGATATAGCACCATATTTCATGGGTAAAATTAAATTATTTAATATATTAAACTTATGTTTAAGATAATACAGGATATAAAATATATTAATACGCCAGAGGGAATATTTTACATACGAGTAGCGTAGGAACTAGTATATAGAGAGAAACGGCGGGTTATAACTATCAAAGCCTTTGACGCACTGATAGAACGATACGTTAATTTGATTTTATCTCCCTACTCACCCAACCAACATTTATCACACACAGAAATATGTTATGGGGTTCTAATTTTGCTTTGTTATTCAGTATAGATAATTTTTGTTATTGTCTTAACAAATATCATGGATAAGTATGAGTGAAGTGGTTCTGAGAGGGAGGGTTTTAACCTTGTTTATTATTATTTGTGTTAACACGATGTATCCATGTGAAATGGATTCAAGGAACCACAGATGCGGGACTTTACATTAATTGTAGAAAAATAAATGTTAAGTGTAGCGGCACACTTACTGGAACCATTATAAGTACTTTTTATACATATCGTCGTCGATGTATGTTTATTGAACAAATTAATCAATCCAATCTTTTTTTCAGACCTGGTTAAAGTAGCTTTTTATTTTATTTGTGTCTTAAAACAACTTTACCACTGAAGGAACATATACTAGAATGAAATTGTGTGTACGTGCCAAACGTACGTTATATATATTTTAACCATGTTATATTTTTATCATGTAGTGCTTACTCGAGTTGACTGTTACACTATATGACCCACTTTGATTTGGTTGGTAATTGGGTCTGTATTTCCGGTTTTACTTTTTTACTGATACAATATTTGTCGACTAATGCGCGCGTTAATATAGCCTCAAGTAGAAACAAACTATGCTTGTTCATTTGTTTCCAGTTGAACGAAGATACCTAAAAGGACAATGTAATTCAGCAAATGCATCTATGTGTCATTTTAAACATTAAAGTACTTTTAATATATTTATTTATAATCAATATTTTAATGTCAGAGTTTTGGTTGATGGATCAAACTTTAATCTTTTATTTTCAACATAATGCCTCTTAATCTTGTTATTTTATTATACTGCAAGAGCGATTTTTCAATAATGTAACAACGATTTTAAAGGTCCATTATGCGCCAGAAATTCTACCAATTTTATTTCTCAATTTTTTTTTATTTTTTGGTATCTTGTTACAGTGTTTAAAGTAATACTCCTTTGCCATATACATTTTGCAACTATAGCTCTGCTGCCAATCGGTATAATCATAGTAAATAAGTATATTGTAAAGAAGTAAAAATTCTACTTTGCTTACATTTTGCTAACTTTATGACATATAACTGTACGTTCAGCGATACATTTCTTTCAGTTGTTAAACAACTAGTATGCTCTTAAATCCATTTTAAAAACACTATCAAACACATGCTTTACATTTCTTAAAATAAAAAAATTAAATTATTTTCTGACTTAGATTTTACACATGCTGTTATCTTAAGTTACATTTGTAAATAAAATTTGTAATAGAATTGAAAACTGAATAACTATCATCACTCAATAGAGAGTATGCTGGTTACTAAAAGTTCTCACATAGCAATAATATAGTGTTGATTTACGAAGTTCTGCAGTTCATCCTCGACTTCACTGTTTACAAATGCAATTGCTGGCGTTTTGTTGAGTTTAGAATTTTGTAATTATTTCCCGAATTACATAAGACCTCCCTCAAATGATGAAAATACAAAATTGACACACATTTATCATTCATATCTATAAGTGCATTAAACACCTTACAAAACTATATACATTTGTACATGCATTTCATATTATACTTTACATAGAGGTCAAGTGAAACTATATGTCCTTGGCCACCAATTTACATGCTTCTAATTTGAACAGTTTTATAAGCATAAGTATGTCTGTTATACTATACCTTATAATCGTTATGTATTCAATTTTCCATCATTTTTGACATAAAGAAAGCTATATCTTTTGAAAATGTTTTTTTTTTCAAAAGTGCACTAATCCCTAAGAGTTTTCCAAGATGTCCGTGTCACATTCATACAGTCTCTCTTTTCCATGCCATTCAAAATCTACGTTAAGCTTGTTCATTATTAGAGTCTTTAGTTGTTTCGGAAGGAAAATGAAGTGGAAATCTCAATTTAGGTTTTGAAGAGAATAATTATCATCGTTAACACACTTGACTATATTTTGATGAAGTTGATAGCTTTAAGCATAAGAATCATGTAAAAAAGTAATATTATGTCAGTTCAGTCATTTGCAAGATTTCATTGTTTGTCATATTACGAGTTTACTTAAAAATATACTATGCCTATCATTGTGTTCAAAATTTTTATTGCGGAAATTAATTGATATCAATAGAATTCTTTCTGAATTTGTATAATTTGATTTTTTTTTTTAAAAGCGCAAACTATGTATGGAAAGCTGCATTCCCAATTACGGGTCAAGTAAAGTTGATCCTTTCTTTAAAATACTGCCAGATATTTTAATGACAATACACTCATATTGTGTGTATAGTGTGTCGAGTTATTTCTTTTTATGCGTTTATTTAAGGTCGCCGCCGGAAAGCCCATATGGGCGACCGTACACTCAAGTCGGGCCATCCTAGAGCGTCCCGCCGAGATTTTTCGTCGATTTTTTTCCAGCTTTATTGGTGGAGGAAGACCCCAGATGCCCCTCCGGCCATTATTTCAGGCACGAGCGGTCACCTGGGTAGAACCACCGACCTTCCGTAAGCCAGCTGGATGGCTTCCTCACATGAAAGATTTCGACCCGAGTGAGGATCAAACCTACAGCGGTGAGGGACCTGTGATCTCAAGTCAGCGACTTTAACCACTCGGCCACGGAGGCCCCTTGTGTCGAGTTAAAACATAACACATTTATTTTAGTGATGTCAAAACATGTTTACTTTATATTGACAGCAATTAACAATATTTTGAATGACAAAA